CTCTCAAATTGAGGGGCCCCGGAAATAACATTCTTGCCGAGAGTTACATTACAGGTATCGTAACATTTTTGCTATGTCGATTTGTTAAATACGTTTTCGTAATATTACATGTATGTATAATAACTGTTATTAAAATTTGCGTTAAATTCACTTTCTAAAAACATGATTTATAGTCATGAGTTGAAATACCAAATTAATTATTTAATTATTTTTCCAAGAATTAAACGCATTAAAAATTAATAAACGCAAAGATCTTCAGAGAGATTTACTTCAATACATTTTATCGAGGGTAACGGCTGGTCTAGTGGGTAGAGCGCCAAATTCGTAATCCGGAAAACCGGGTTCAAATCCCGCTAGGCCACTGAAAAATTTTTCAGCAAAAATGCCGCCCCCCCCCATCTAGCGGAGAGAGGTAACCCTAAATGGGAAAACTGGGCTCCGTCTTTCGGAAGAGACGTTAACCAATTAGTCCACCCATAGGCGTCGACCGCTAAGGTCATACCTCAGTGTTTCTTACTTCCACCCCGATCTATGTCGGCTACCTAAGTATGCCTAGCAACCAGTTTAAGAAATTAAATTGCTCACAGTTCCGGCATCCAACCGCCGAGTCAAATCCGAAGAGGTTGCTGACAAAAAACAGGCCTTTGGCCTAAGGTGGAAAGAGAAGAAACTCTCAACCGCTAAAAGAAGAAGAAGACATTTTATTGTTACATTCCACTTCTTACAATGCGCAATGTTACAAAATAACAAAATATTAAATTGAAGCCAATCTAACAGATAGATACGTTTATTGTCTCCCCTCAGGATTGCAAGGCGTTTTGAAGAAACGTTCCCAACCCTTTAGAAACAAATACATACACCTCTTTTTATCCACACATGCGGCGTTTTATAGGGACGTACCCAACCCTTTACAAGTCTCTTTCGTGTCCCGGCCTGGCCATAGCGACCCTTAACATACTAGCACCCTCCCACCCTCTCGATACCCGCCCCCGTACTCCTCCCTGTCCCACCCTTCCCTGTCCTTCTCTTTCTCGTGCCATCTCTTACCTATCCTCCGTCCATAACTCTCCTTTCTCTTCCTGCTTTCTTTCTTCTCTCCTCCAGTCTGCTCCCTTCTCCTACCTTCCGTGCCCACTCTTCGACTCTCCACCTCCTCTTTAATCCCGCTTCTCTCCGTCTCTCTTCCCCGCTCCTGCGCCACCCTGTCACTCTTCTTGTCTCGTCTCTTTGCTCTCTGTTCCCTGCTTCTGCTCTCAGTCCGTTCTTCCGTCTCTCTTCACCTTTCTCCTCCTCCTATAAGCAAACTTTCTTCAGCACATGTCTCTTAACCACCCCTCTATCTTTCTCTCTACGCCTCCTCTAATCCTCGTGCGAGCGTGTGTGTGTGTATAACCCCTGCCTCTCTCCTCCTTCTCCCTTTCCTCCACACTCTCCCTTTTTTACCTCTCTCCGCTCTCTCTCCTCCGTTTCCTTCTCTTCGCCCTCAATTCGGCCCTTTCCCTTATCTATCCTTTCACCGTTTTTCACTCTCTACGTTCTCCTCTCGCCTCTCTTCGTTCACCACCTTTCACTCTCCGTACCCCCATCTCTCCGTTCTCCCCCCGTTCTCCTCTCTCCGTCCTCTTGCCGTGCGGCGGCCGAATTTTTCGTTCCCGCTCCCCCCTCTCTGCTTCTCATAATCTTCCTAATCTTCTCCAACTCCTCCCCTACCTTCGCTATCCCCTTCGCCTATTCCTTCCAACTCTTTCTTTTCTCTTCTTCGCCTCCACTGCAATCGCTCCCCGTCGCTCGTCTCTCAATCCTTGTCGCGGTGACACGTGTCGATCCCTCGCTCTCCATCACTCGTCAAAATTGCCGATTCTCTTATTCGCTGTCGTGCTGACGCAGGCTGCGTATCCGCCTTAAGGTGGAACTAATAAAATTGCAGGAGCCATGAGCAGAATGCAGAACCCATATGCGCATGCGCTATGGTATCTGCATTCTGCCCATAGCTTCTGAATTTTCAATCTACATAAAAATACATAAGCATAGTTTATTAGCGCATGCGCATATGGCTCCTGCAATTTTGTGTGCTTCCACCTTTATAGTTCAGTCGGCACGTCGTTAAAAATAACAAATAAATCGACTAATTAGGACAAAGCTGCAAAAAATTTTAATCTCTTTATTTGGGTGTCAGTAATTACATACTAAGTTTTTGACCTCCCCTGTGGTGTGCTTCGGCCGCCATCTTGGAAGAAAGTGGTGAAAAATCGGTTTTTCGCGAATATCTCGGTTTCCATTAGACTTAGGCTAAAATAGTTTAATGCAATATTGTAGGGAATTAAATTCTCTACAAAAAAGGAAGTATAGGTTTTTTTTCTACGACCAATAGTTTTGGTGCTAGAGCCGGGAAAAGTAGAATACTTTTTGTAACAAACGGTTTCAGCGACTCAGATCTCGCCGTATCTCACTTCTCAGGTAAATGGCGTTGTTATTGTGCTAGTGAACCGTTGTCGTTTCATACATCTGGCTTTGTATTATTTACTCAACAATGCTATAAACACCCTTTGTTAAAAGCTAGGAGCATCCAAGATTTTAAATAAATTAAAAGATATAGTTATGACGATTATCTCACTGTTTACAATGTCCTGTTTACAATATACGTCCTTCGGTGGGTGGGCTCAGGTCAAAATTTAGTATAGCATTGGCTTTGGTCAAAGTTGCATGTGTTTTCGTGTTCCTATACTAAAATAAAATTATGAATTTAGAGCAGTGTTTTATTTGTGAGGAGACGTTATCCCGCGGTGATACAGTTGATGTCAAAGAGAGAGGGATTAAAACTCTTATCGAGAGCAGTAGAGAGAGAAAAGACAATAAAAAATTATTCCTAAGGGGACTAAACTGTGTAACTGTGCACGTCAAGTGCCGGAAATCTTATATAGATAAGAAACTTATAATTGCATTACTGAGAGCCAAAGAGAAAGCTGTTTCTAGCGTAATCGGCTCCCGAAAATCGAGCATTCCATCTTTCGACTTCAAGACGACATGTCTGTTCTGCGCAGAAAATGCATCGCAAGAATTTGTAAAAAAACAGACAAAGAAGAATGTTGCAAGGCGCGATACTGTGCACGTGATCAATACGATGCAAGTTAAAGAAAATATTTTGAAAACTGCAAAGATAAGAGGAGATACGTGGGGCAAAACTGTAAGTATGCGCATCTTAAAAGTAATGGATTTAGTTGCAGCCCAGGGTCAATACCACGATTCATGTAAAAAAATTCTCATAATCTTAATAATAAACTTAGTTGATTAGGCCTACAGGAAACACGACATAAAAAAAACGCGCCACTAACTCTACCGCAAGGTGGTGAGGAAACGAGTTCAAAAGTATACTACAGTCTCTGAGAAGTGAGATACGGCAAGATAAAGTCGCTGAAACCGTTTGTTACAAAAAGTATTCTACTTTTCCCGGCTCTAGCGCCAAAACTATCGGTCGTAGGAAAAAAACCTATACTTCCTTTTTTGTAGAAAATTTAATTCCCTACAATATTGCATTAAACTATTTTAGCCTAAGTCTAATGAAAACCGAGATATTCGCGAAAACCCGGTTTTTCACCCCTTTCTTCCAAGATGGCGGCCGAAGCACACCACGGGGAAGGTCAAAAACTTAGTGTATGTCATTACTGACACCCAAACAAAGCGATTAAAATTTTTTGCAGCTTTGTCCTAATTAGTCGATTTTCAAATGTACTTGCCGACTGGACTATTAAGCTTTCACTCGCTCACTTCTCGCGCCATCTCCTCTTTCCTCCTTACCGACTCGCTCCGTACGCCAGTCCCGCACGCTCCTACGTATTAAGTCCCGCCGCTCCGCAGTGGTGCCAACCTACTCTTTTGGAGCTGTTGACACTCCGCATTGGCTCAGCTCCGGTAACTTAGCCGGTCAACTTCGACTTTATTAATTTTTTTTTTTTAATCGTTTGTTGGTCGTTTGTTGGTGATTGTTGGCCTAATTACAACGTTTGTTGGTTCTTAATTTTTTTTTAATTAAAAAAGAAAAATTAGCGTTAAGTTAGCCGGAAAAATCTCATTTTTAATTAAAAAACGGTCTAATCGATGCGTAATCGTTGCTAATGATTGGTTGGTCTAATTTTAGCGTTTGTTGGTTTATTATTAGTCTTAAAAACAAAAAATTATTTCGGTAATCGACACTGAACATGCTCAGCGGCCACATATGCGCATACTCAGTGGCCGCACGCGCATGCAAAAGTGCGCGAATTTGAAACGTATATGTATACTTATATAATGCATATCACTTATTGTTAGCTTTTAATGATGAATATATCTTATATAATATATCAAAGTACATACGTAGGCGGGAGGGCTTTGCTCCCCTGCACTCTCCCCCCATGCATGTACTTTATAATTTCGTTGTAAAGCGAGGTCCACGCTGCCTACCGGCGGAGGTGGGTGCGGGAGGGGGACCAAAGAACCAACAAACGTTGTAATTAGGCCAACAATCACCAACAAACGACCAACAAACAATTAAAAAAAAAATTAATAAAGTCAAAGTTGACCGGCTAAGTTACCGGAGCTCGTCGGCTCAGACCACCAACCGGAGCGCACTTCCGCCGTACCTCCTTCCCGTCGCCGGATCACAACGTGTGCCATGCGTCACCACTCCAGCCGGCTAGATCTTGCTCCGTGCCATTACTCCCCTTCCAGCCTCTCACCCATCACGTCCCTGCCCCCTCTTCTTCCTTCTCCTCATCCTAACCTTCAAGAACACCCTTACTGACTTCCACTCTCCAACCACGCTATCCTCGACTCCTCCTCCACTTCCTCGACCTCTTCCAAGCCTCCTCCACCACCTTCACCACACTGTTACATTTTCCCTGCCTTTAACTCCTCTCACTGCCCTTAACTCTCTCCACTTCAACTCCGGGCCAACCGTCCGTTCCACCCCACCACCGACTCCCCTTGAAGCCAACCTAATATGCACTAATATAATATATGCAGAAAATTATACGAAAGTATAATCTCTTATATTTAACAT